CGGCATTTTATGGATTTTCATTTTACGCCACAAATTCCTCAGAACTTTGTTGCTTTTTTCAATTTCTCGTTGCCAATGATCGGAAAAAATTCTCAATGACACCAGCATCTACCGGTTAAAAACACTGCGTTAGTTCTCATTTTGTTTTCAGTAACTCAAAAAAGCAGGTTTCTCTCATTGAAAGTCCGTCGACCATTGGGTAGCTGCTGAGCGAAGGAACATCTCCATAGGATGTGTTATAATAATAATTCCTGTACAATACTCTCTGTTGCCAGAGCATTTTGTCAGATTTGTGCTCCTGCCACCTCGTTTATTCTCAAATAACCCTAAGCCATTTCTTATAGGTTCATTGACACCCTTTCAATAGTATTTGCCGGCTCCGATGAAGGTGATCAGATTGCTGGCGCCAGTACCTCGAGAACCGTGACGGCTATGCCATTGGCGTAAGTGTTGCTGAAAGGGTATAACACTCCCGCTAAATGCCTGGATGGGCTGAATGGTGGTCACTCACCCGTTGAGACAAAATAAAGATTTTAGTGGCAAAAAAGAAATATCTAGTGCATGACGGGCTTTTCGGAATGGAATTTTTAACTGGAATCTCTCGTCACGCACTTAGAACATCACGAGCTTTGAAACATTACCATATGTACCTCATGAAAGCGGCCAATTTGTTGAGTGCGAAGTGATGGAGTAGCAGAAGCATCTTAGGATTTTCTCCTTACTTTTCAATAGATGGATCTTTTTGGGTGATCAAACGGCCCTGAATAATAAAAAAAATTACGTAATTTCCTATTTCCTTGGAAGGAGGAGATATGAGCCTTGGAATTAGTTGATTTTTGTGAGCACTGCTATGTTCTCAAGGCATTTTAAAATTTCTATGATCGCTACAAAGCTTGCGTGTCGTCGGATACTTTACTATATGGTCTGAAGGTTTTGAGCGTCCTCTGAAGTTGAATACATAAGCTTCTTTTTGAAAATTCTATGCTGATTGTGAGCTAAGAAAAAAATTATGCTCACTAGAGAGTATCGTTATAAAGGAGATTTTGCCAACAAATTACAGTAGTCATGTGGCAGTCTATTCCTCGAACTGTATTCAAGCCATCGGTCCTTATTGGTCGCGCTGACTCTCAAGCGGAGAAGAGTTCCAAACGTCATTCGGATAAAGTGTCCTGATAACAGGCTGAGATTGAGGTTGTCCGGACGACTTAAGTTTGTCAAGGCAACACGTCGTGATATTAACGCCACGATGAGATCTGACCGAGGAAGCAACGACTTTTCACCAGCCATGCGTACCCTGAAAGCTATTTCACGGCCGAACAACCGTCCGAAACCTGGCGCTTCATCAAGCCGTTGATGAGCAACCACTGCCTCTGAAGCGTCACCTACCGTCTCCTTGGGTAGCTCTCCTGCCCAACGTATTTACTATTCTCCTTTAGGATCCATTCGCATGCAAATTTTCGCGACCACTTCCTTCGATTACTTGCAGTAACTGGAAAAAATACGACGATGTCAGTTGAAGCAACCAAATGCATTCATAACACAGGATCTTTTTTCGGGATTTCATAGCCACATATTGTTTTCAACTGGTTCAACTTCAGAAAACCACTATGTTAGTTTTGCAATTTTCAGTTGAATTGCATGCGTGGCTCATTCTGACAAAGCAGAACGTGAAAAACATTTTTTTCCGTTGCTCTGTTCCTAGCAAAATATCAACAAAGGCGTGCTTCTGCCTGCTCCCTGCCTTTAGACCTGTTTTTATCTTTTTGGACTGGACTGCGATTCTGTAAAAACTTTTGATGAAACACTACAGTACACTGCTACGTCAAACCGATCAGAGCCCCGTCCACAGGCTCGTTTGTTCCGAAATGCGTTCAGACGGACTGCAGGGCGTTTGGTGCGGTTTACTAGATTGAGTAGAAGCTGTGGCTGTAACCCAACTATTCACTTACTGCTGGAGTTCTATTTAGTAAATCCAGAGAAAAAATGTCCTAAGGACACTCGGGAGAATTCTTAGAGGTTCGCAGCAGGTGTCGATCTGTGGTTGATGACTGGGAAGATATCCGGAGGTGTGCCCGCGACGACTATCTTCAGGGCTTCGCGGTCAATCACAATTGTCGCCGCTACCGTATTCCAGTGAGAAAAATGGAGACGTAAATTGCAGGCGAATCAAGCAGGCCATATCGCCTCTAGTGCTGATGCTAAACAATATCTAACTGGTTCCTAATAGAACTGTTGCTGTTACAGAGCGTTGTTCGATCTGCCCTTCCTAAGTAATCTCTCATTTTACGGGTTCTGAAAAATACCTCCGTCCTTTAACGTAGCTTCAACAAAAGCGCTTGGATCACCTTAGTGAGGAACGGATCGGAAGTGCCGCTTCATTTTACATTACCTAGTCACGTGAAAAAATTCGAGCACCAAAGGAGTTCCCAGCAGAGGTAGAAACGCAGAGGGGTTCCCAGAGTAGAAGCCCTCACAGGAGCAACGAAAAAAATGATTGTTTGGGCGAACGACGATGCCTTCAAAGTGCGCCATTCGTCCGAACTCTAATCGCGGGAGGCCTCAGAAAAAGTATAGGTGTTGTAACTGGGGTGCTAGTCAGGGAAAACGCTCTCTTTGGAGCTAGGAGAACAAAATCAGAGAAGTGCCAAGCGCTAAATGATTGAGGATCCCAATGCTTGGAGCTGATCGTGCTGATCAGCTGATCATCATGTAGCGCTTGTAGCCAGTTTTTAGCCTTCACCAAATTTCGGTGTAAAGGTGATGTATTTCTCATCTATGAGCTCATGAAAAAACAAATCAAAAAAAAAAAAAAAAAAAAAAAAAAAAAAAAAAACAGAGGAAAGAAAAAAAAGAAGAGAAAAAAAAAAGCTGACTCATAACAATTTATAGGAAAAATAATTAACCAGCAGACTCATGGTGCAAATAAATTAATATACAGTGTGAGCAAAAACCGGAAGAACCACATTGAAACATGCGACGGCTCACGCAGAAGGCTGGTCGCAGCCCACGTGTGGCCGAGAGTTCCGCGACTAATGGGGTTAGCATTTGTCGTATCCGAAATTTCGGCGACCTTGGTGCCAGCTCAGTTTATGGTATTTAAAGGGCCAGACGAATGTTCGAGGAGCATGTATTTGACTGTTTACGGGATGAGTGCAGCGGCATGCGTCGTCGATCGGCTGGCGCATGAGCGCGCTGCCGTGGGACCTCCTTTTGCCTTCGCTGGGGCCAATGCACTCTTCAGTGATCTTCTGACAACCCTCTGGCCAGTATGTGCACGCAGAGTACCAACCACTAGGAAAATTATGCCATGGACCCTCAGAGCAAAAAAGGGAAATGAAAAAAATGAAAATCCACAAAAAACTCACATCGATTTTCACGCTGCCTCTCGAACTGGTTTTGAACTCCGGAAATCGCGCTGTAAGCATTTGATGACTCTTTAAGGTCATCTGAATGCGGTCGGGTATGCCAGAATTTTCCATTTTTGCGGCGATAGTGACCTAGAAAAGGTTGATTAGGGATAAACAGATGTACTAAGTCGTAAACTCACAGTTGGTCCAAAAACAGAGTAGCGCGGTGCTCGAATGCCTACCACGCCGGTGAACACGGGTCCGGTATTGAAGCCCCAGCGGCAGTGAAGATACTGGCCGGGACGATGTGGAATCATGAAGTCGTACAGGAACTGGAACAAGTAGTAGGCATCGTTAGGCAAAATCAGCCTTGAAGAATACGGGAAGTCGTCTCAAGGTACAAAATGGGATGCGCTATCGATCACACCGCGCGCGGCGCTTTGCCTCGCTACGCAGTTAGTATGCCGCGCGCGATGCCGCACGGTGACTTGTGTTTAGCATTTTCTCCGCGATGCGCTTTAAGTAGATCAAGTTAATCAAGTAAAGGATAGAAAACAGGCCTCTTATTATCTAATAGAGAAATCCATGGTATCGAGGATTCTCTGGGTTCCGTTTTCCAAATTGAAACGGATGTTCTTCGAGGATTTTCTTTCGCAAAACTTTACTGATAACTTGTTTTTGTTTGTTAACTGTTCCGGTTCGAGTCCCGTCTGGGGCGAAAGTTTTGTTCACAACCCAGCACACTTGTGAAACATTTACTGCTAACGTCTCGAGCCTAATTCTTTCTTAAGATCCACTAAAAATAAGAGAAGAATCGTTAGAGTCAGTGGAATTAGTATGAACTGCACGACGATAGCACTTGCAGGATTGATTACGGGCCAAAAATTTTCTAGGTGAACGGGTAGCCACAAATGAGTGCACTCCTAGCGAACGTAGGGAAAGTCTACAGCCATCAGATTTTCACTTTTTCTTAAACAGATGATTTTAGACATACCGGCATAGATTTTGAAAAGGAAATCGGACGCACGGCGCATCTATGAGGCAAATCCTTTGTTCCTTTCATCCTACCCTCTTTTGTAGAAAGGACATCAGATCCAACAAGCAATTGCTAACGGAGCCTTAACTCCTTACGGACTCTTTACCGGACTATCTGACCTTTGAAAGAAGACAAAGTGACGTCTCACTTGTATGTCTGCTGACTATTTATTTATTTTTTGTTTATTTGTTTACTTGAGACGCTGCTCAAGGCAGACGTGGAAAAAAACAACACAATTATATCATAGTGCAAATTTGACATAATTGATAAA